CTTTCACATCTTTCTTAAGTTTCGGATAGTCTAGTTTGATATGGCCAGGTTTTCTACATTTATAGCAATGATATTTATTTGTTTTCTCCTTTCTTTGCTGTCTCTTTTTCCTGTTCTTCATAAAACGAGAAAATTGTTTAACAAAAAGAGACATATCAGAATCTAAAAATTTACCTTCATTTTCGCTTTCGTCTTGTGAAATATTTCTACTTTTAGAGTTATCGTCTTGACTCGATTCTGTTCACCATTTTTTAACCTTTGTAGCTCCATCTCATGTTCTTGCAACTTTCCAAATAGAATAACAATATTCATTTATGTGAGATCATTTGATTCTGTAATAGTAGTGACCTTTGGTTGTCAATTCCTGTCTAAGGATCTCAAGATCTTTGTGTTCAACTCCTCATTGTCAAAACTTTTTCCTAATGCTTTTAAGTGATTTACTATATGTGTGAAGCATGTCTGTAAATCCGTGATGCTTTCATTTTGCTGCATTTGAAATAATTCATACTCCTGGATGAGTGTGTTCTTACGTGCTCGTTTTACTTCATTTGTTCCTTCATGTGTTACCTCAAGAGTGTCTCATATTTCTTTTTTCGTCTTGCATTGTGAGACCCTAAAAAATTCATTACGAGTTAAGGCAGAAACAATAGTATTTCGGGCTCTTACATCATAATGGACACGCTTGTTTTCATCTGGCGTCCATTAATCAAAAGTCTTTGAAACAGCTCCAGACCCCGTTATTCTCATCGGAATGTAGGGACCATTGAGTACAGCATCCCAAACACCATAATCTAGTGTTTGTAAAAATATTTTCATTCTTGCTTTCCAAAACTGATAGTCTTCTCCTTCAAATAATGGTGGTCTGTTTATTAAGGCTCATTCCCTATAAACCTGATTCTGCAAAGACATCTTGATAGATCGTTTAGAAATATCTTATCTAACCAAGCTCTGATACCACTTGTTAGACAAATGTCATCTAGAGGGGGGGTGAATAGATGCACAAATTAAAATAGATGTCAAATTAAAAATTTATTTGTGAGTCAATAATTTGTTTGAACACAGATAAAACGGAAACGATAATATAATCAGGAAAAGAGAAAGAGATAAGGGAAAGAGAAGAGCACACAAAGATTTATACTGGTTCGGGTATAGCCAACCCTACATCCAGTTCCCAGTCAACTCTTAACACAAGAGTGACTCTCAATTCACTATCTTTCAAATTCAGTTTACAAATTACAATCAACTCAACAGAAGAACTAGTAAAAAGTAAACTAATTAAAAAGACAATCACCTCCTTAGAAACTCACTAAGGATGAACACCTCCCTAGAATCCCACTAGGGATGAACACCTCCTCTGAACAAATTAAAGGATGAAAAAACACCTCCTTAGAATCCCACTAAGGATGAACACCTCCCTAGAATCACACTAGGGATGAACACCTCCTTGAACAAATCAAATGGATGAAAACAACTCCTAAACCCACAAAGGATGAAGGAGTAAGATAAGAACAGTCACACTTGGGTAATGGAGACAACAAATTGTAGAAGCCTGTAGAATGTCAATCTCCAAGAACAAGTGTGATTAATAATGAAAGTACAAAAGACAATAGAGAAGAGAGTTTTCTCAGAAGGTGTAAAATATCTATGTTGCCTTGCTCAGAATTCTTTTCTCAAAACTGATTGAATGTAAATTGTATTTTCGAATTCTGCAATTGTGTGTTTTTTATTTTTCATCAAAACTTAAATAGAAAAATAGCATCAGAAAATGGTCGTTGGACATTAATATTTTCGTGAATAAAATCAAGATATATTCAAAAACATTTATTCTTCAAAACAGATATATTTTCAAATGTGAATTGCCATAATTGATTATGTTACCAGTATAATCAATTATGACATAGAAAATCATTTTTCCATTTCTGATGCATCATAATTGATTATGACAGTGAAAAATATCATGTTATGAATTTTATCACATTTGTGTTTTGGAGGCTTATGCATAATATTACTTCATCAACTTATACTTCCATATCCAGTATTTTAAGACTTTATCTAGTCTTCAGGAATCATCTTGGACTTACTTGAATTATCATCTTTATAAAAAACATATCTTGGGCATGTAGGGAAATGTTTCACATTGTCACCAACGTCTTAAATTCAGTTTGTCCTTAATTCATCTTGAATAGTGTTGACTTGAATCATCGTCAAAATCATCTCTTGGAAATGTAGGGACATTTTCATCAATCTCCCCCTCATTGTTTTGATGATAAACATTTATTTAGAATCTCTTATCCAGCACATTAGAGTTTGAGCGTTGTCTTTTTTTTTGTTTGGTATGATATTATACCGGTTAGTTTACATGTAGGTAGTGGTAAGAACTTATTATGCTTCACTACCGATGCACAGTTTAAAATATTAAGCAAGATAATGTCGTGATTTGATGCTTATGTGCAGTTTAGTCACAGTAATCAACAGAATGTCACTTGGATAGTTCAAATGACAACCTTGTGAACATCAAATGACAACATTGTGAACATCAAATGACTTTTCGCTTTATTTTTGAGCCGTTTATCAGAGCTATGGAGCATTGCATTGCATGAGATAGAATTGGGACAAGGAGTCACTGGGATGTTTTTCCAAGCAGTAGCCACGTGTAAAATTCCGTTGCTACAAGAATATGAATAATGTCTAACATGACAATCTAATTTTAATGTTATCTTCGAATGGAATGCCCGAGAAACAAAGGAAACATACCATTGGATGCAAATCTACATTCAAATGATAAACTCTCAGCCTCAATTTTTCTTTTTCAAGTGCTGTCATGTAGCAAAGGAATCACCTCTCCTTTTCTCCACTTCCAATGCCAGATATAATGAAATAACTAAAAGTTACTGACTTTGTGTACATAACCTTGGGTGAGGTTGGGTGTGAACCTAATTAAAAAAAAAAACAAGTTGAATTGGATTTCTATATTTCTTTAAAATTTGATTTGACTTTGATTAGGTTACATTGCATTGAATAAATTAGGTCACAAATTGTGAAAAAAGTAAAATTCTATTTTTTATTTTTTTCAAAAAAAAATTATTTTTATAATAGAATAAACTGTAATATTTAAATAATTAAATAATTTAAAGATACATACTTAATTCATAGAATAATTAAATAAATGAAATAATAATTATACTATTATTTCTATTATTTAATAATTTTAATGAAATTAAATTAGATATTGAGTTTAACAAAGAGAACCATTCCCAAATTCACGAGATATAAATTGAATTGGATTTTCTCCATCACAAAGAAATCCAACAATTGGATTTGATGATATTAATTCGACCCATTAAACACTGATAATTTTAAGATGGGAAACGTTGCAGATCACACACTTTGCTATAATATTCTTTGTTGGTTTTACATTTGCTATATTAAAAAATCAGAACAATAATAAACTGAGCTACTAAAAAGAATTTGGCCTTTCTTTTTATTAGGCTTCTGTATAAGATTAAAGTTGTCTTGTAAAGTTTCTAATGATCCCAAACAAAAGATGCCTATGAAAGAGTGATGAATCCTTACAAAGTTACCTAAAATAATTGGGTAAGCAAATAATATGTAACCTACTTATATTCAATACTTTCGTATTTGGAGCACGTAATATTGATTGTAACTATATTTATGTGGTTAAATGACTCAATTATATACGATCCACTGAATGGAAGATTGATAGGAATATGCCACTGGGTTGTGCTATGTTGCCACTGTTTGATAAAGTTCATATGCTCTAAAGCGCAGAACTTCTTCTCAGCATCTTCCCCTATATAGTACAATGTGGGGAAAATGAAAAATTGGTGGGCACCCGAGGGTAGCGTTTTCTGTTCCTATTTTCCTGCGATTCTACTGAATATTTTATGACATGTTTGGGCTAGATTAACAAATATAAGCCTACAATATCAGGCATATATTATCTTTAAATCAGCATCTTCTCCCTCCAAATATCTTTTCTATCATATTTCAACTCGGCGCTTCCGTTGATATTTGAACTCGACAATCTTGTTAAGACATTAATAATATGTTTCAAAGAATAAAAAAAAATATATATATATATATATATATATATATATATATATATATATAGAGAGAGAGAGAGAGAGAGAGAGAGAGGAGGGGGCACACAAATAATAATGTGTTTTCCTTTTTGTTCAGTGAATAATATGAAGAGAAAAAGTTTACGTTTAGACACAAAAATTCAAAAAATTTCTTTCTTTTTATTTTCCTTCCAAATCAAATATCACATTTTTCTCTCCTTCTCCACTCTCTCCAAGAGGGTAAGTGTGTTTGGAAATCTAACACGTAGATACAGCATACCACATCCCCGTTAAACGGAGAAGCTACTCTTTGGTAAAACACAAGCAAACATGCTACAGAAAGTTGCTGCATTTTCAAATCCAACACCTGTCTAATTGTCCATAATCCGTGTAAACACAATAGGCGACTAACAATTGTCATGTGAAACTTGGAAAAACACAGAAGGGTGCTAAATTTCCCTGCACCTTGTTTTAACAATAATTTAGTGACTAAACAAGTTTCTAATGATATATACTTTTCCTGATATAGTTTTCAGAATGCAGTCTGCAATTTAATGTACTGATATTCCATGATAAATTGGCAATTGCAAACGATATAGCTATTGGCTTAACATAGCCACGATCATGGGTTGGATACAATGAGGTGGCTATAAGTTACTCTTCATTCATTTTAGCAAAGCATATGGGTGGTTACCATCAAACAATCAAAGAGGGAATATTAGGAATCCACTAACGACAAAACTTTTAGGACATATTTTTAGATGTTATTCTACATGCACAGTTACCAGAATAAACCAGCTGAAGCTAATATAAATAGACCTTCTCTAGAGCTCAAATTCAACAGAGGAAAACAAAATTCTTCAAGTCCCTTGTACCATAGTTAAGAGTTAACCTTTTAAATAATCAGATATTGCAGCAATGGATTTGCTGGCAACTTTGACTGCTGACAAGCCAGTAGTGATCTTCAGCAAGAGCAATTGTTGCATTAGCCATTCTGTGAAGGCTCTCATATGCAGCTTCGGTGCCAACCCTACAGTTATCGAGGTTGACAAAATGGAAAATGGGCAACAAATAGAGAGGGCACTGATTCAACTGGGTTGTCGCCCAACTGTACCAGCAGTGTTCATCGGACAACAACTTATAGGTGGTGCTGAAGAACTCATAAGGCTCAACGTCCAAAACAATCTTGCTCAGTTGCTTTTAAGGGCTAGAGCTATATTTATTTGGAGTCCATAACCATGCAATGCAAAATCACTTCAGGATAAAACAAGGGAGGCTCTATGTAGTTCCTAGCTCTATGATAACTATATATAAGTCAGGTTTAGTGACAGAGCTTCTTCTAGTCTGTTTGTACTGTTAATTCTTCGTTTCTGGTTCTGGTGCACAACTTCATTCTCAATTTTTGTGTAATATAAGTTAAGTCTATGCCTGACATGACCATGGGCCATGGCATGCACATGTTATCAAATGCAAGGCTCATTTATAAAAGGAAATATATTATGATTTTCATAAAAACTGGAGTTAGGATGAAAATTAACTTCATACGAGAAAATTGACAAATATTCACCCTGCATAGAAGGGAGCAAAAGTAATAAAAATGATAGTGTAACATTCTAAATAACATAAAGTTGGATATAGTTCAAACAAATCTAAAGAAATGATATATATATATATATAAGAAGTGTTTTTATTTGACCTATACTAGGTATCTCAATTCAAGTCCAAGATTAATGATGTATTTTAGTTTATTAAACCAGACCAATAAAGGCAACTCAGATTGCTTGATCCAAGAACAAGTTATTGGTTATTCGGTTCTCTGTTAGGAATCTCAAAAATATGATTTGAGCAAAGGTTATGACAAACAAGTTTTTTTCCTTTAAATCATAATCTAAGACTTTAAAAATGAAATAAAAAAAATAAAAAAATGCACTTAACCACCTACGGCTCCTTAGAAGGGAAAAATAAACAGGGTAAGAAATCTAGGCAGAGAATTTGAATTTGAAATATGTATAAAAAGTGATAGATCAAGTAAATATGTATGCTAATCATTTGTGTAGATTAGGTTTTACTCCCTGAAGATTTCTTGGACGGTAATCTATAAACGAATAAACAAACAAGACTCACTATAAATCCCTCCATTATTGTATGACTGTTATTTACGTGCGATACATGAAATATTAGTCTAGCTGCGAAGTGAATCAACAACTTCTACAGAAAAGTCTACTCATCTACCTCAATTCTTCTTAGTAAGGAGGTTGCAGGACACCAAAACACTGATATAGCAAAGAGGAGGATAGCATAGTATAGCTTCCTTATACATGGGAGATCCTAATAGAATGGTCACAGACTCACAGTTAAAGGATAGAAAAAATAAATTATACAACATCATGTTCACAAGCAGAATCAGATGTCAAGGAATCCCTAGTCCCCACTGTGATGCCAAGAACTGACCTCGCACTACCCACCACCTACTTTGATCTGCACTAAACGCATATGCCAGCGTACCTTTCAGTTTTGATGGAAGGGCCAACAATTATTGAACTTCAACACATTTACATGTACACAAATCTATACGAAGCTTATCGTATTGGGTTATGATACGAAGTATTCACCGATTTAACAATTCGTGTGACAGTTGAAAGAAATTGACTGGCTTAAAATGAGTGTATTACGAATATAATAAGACGTACGCTGTATTTAGTTCTTAAAATGGTCCTGTGCATGATAATAACATAACAAAACACATGGGATTGGGGGAGAGGGAAGCATATAAAGAAAATGTCAGAGTCGAACATACCCAAGTGGCAAGAAGGAATCTTTATCTATCGCGCCTGAACTTGGAATTTCTCTTCATTACGCTGCAAAATGACACCGTCCTCTCAACGCGACGCTCTTAGCCATAGATCAATCGACAAAACGAATCGTTTGGACCCAATTGATACGACGTCGTTCCTTGCACTAGAATCGAGAGTGTTGAATAAAATTACTAATTTGAAAAACTCGACTCCACTGGGGATCGAACCCAGAATCTCTGGTTTCGAAGACCAGCGCCTTATCCATTGGGCCATGGAGTCGTCTCAACGCGCTCTTAGCCATAGATCAATCAACAAAACAAATCGTTTGGACCCAATTGATACGACGTCGTTCCTTACACTAGAATCGAGAGTGTTAAATAAAATTACATTTGAAAAACTCGACTCCACTGGGGATCGAACCCAGAATCTCTGGTTCCGTAGACCAGCGCCTTATCCATTGGGCCATGGAGTCGCTTGTTGACATTTTTTAATATTTTAAATATATTCTATATATAAAACATAGCTAACATAAATTTGGTTAAACTTATACTTTCAGTCAATCAAATATAAATAAATTCATTCATTAAAATATTTCCATATTTTAACAATAAATATTATTATATTTTCATAATTAGTAGGTGTACCAAAATTGTGTTAGCTGTATTTTATTATAGAAAATACTAGATTTCATATAAAATATTAGTAACATTAGCAAGCGACTCCATGGCCCAATGGATAAGGCGCTGGTCTACGGAACCAGAGATTCTGGGTTCGATCCCCAGTGGAGTCGGCTTTCAAAATAAGTAGTTTTATTTAACACTCTCGATTCTTATGCAAGGCACGACGTCGTATCAATGTTGTTGCTCAATGAAGAGAAAATATTTTTGTTTTAAAATATTTAACCATATGAGATTATTAATGGACTCTCTAAACTTTAAATGAGTGTATTGTTAACCATATGATAACATTCTTCTTTATAAGATGTATTTATTTTAGACATTGATTTTGTTTTTTTATGAAGTAAGTTTTAAATTGTAATATTTTCTTTTCTATTAAATTTTTAATAAATTATTGTAAGCTTTATTCATTCATATAAAAGTAGTATTATTTTTATTTTTATTTTATTGTAATTTTGTCAAATAAAAGATGTTATAAGAATAAAAATTATTTTACAATTCAACTATTGACTTTTCTATCTCTTATTTTAATCATTGTTGTCCTTCGTGACCTTCAGCAATTATTTAAGTAATGCCGAATGTTAATTTAATTAAAATCAAAGTTGTATTTTTACATTTCATTCTTGATGTAATTAAAAAATTCAACTACACTAAGATATTTTTATGAAATATAGATTATTTTTATTATGTGTTTTAAATCTTTTCTTTCATTAATTCACAGGTTTTGTTTGTTTCTCCTATCCAAGTATCTGATTTGAAAAAGAGTGATAATATTTTCACATCATTATTCATTTCAAAATCCACTTAACAATCCATTTTATTAATAAAATAATACTATAAAATTAATAAAACTAATTGTTGTTTAGATGTTTGTATGATATAAGGTTGTGAATCTATCATTTTTTATTGAAAAATGTATCATTTTTATGATAATATCTGGCTACAGCTTATAAAACAAGATGTCGGTGGAACTCCTAATAAGAACGTGAAAATCAAGTTACTCACTCTATATATAAAAAGGGTTTCTCACTTTGTGCATGCACTGCTTCTTTTATAAGTAGGTATTATATGTTTGTTCGTGACATGTGTTCAAATATTCTATTCATGTATCTAGAGAAAATGAGTAGAAATCAGAATTCCATCTTATCTTCTCGTCATTAGGGGCATGTATCAATGAGGAATTGTTAACTTATTATTATATCTTTGGTATGAGTGGTAGGTACTGTTCGTGAACATGTTTCTAGATAAGTGGGGTCTCGTTAACTTCTAAGCGTGCTGTTTGCTTGCAGCAGAAGCATTTGAATGATGGAGGAGAAAGGAAATTGCAGCAGTTCAGGATATGGTGTTTGAGAACACAAGCCAAGAGATTGATGTCTTTGAACTGTTCTCTGGTCCCCAAATGTTTGGCTCTATTATAGATAGTATACATATCAGTTTGAAAAAAATTATGAACCAGAGGATAGTAGTTTAGTTGAGCATCATCCCACCCTCAAAATAGTCCATCCAAGGTTTGGGCAATGATGTCATTACCAAACAAAGCAACCAAACCAAGGAGCAAGCATTACTCAAAAAACGAAAAACACTATCCACTAGAAAATAAATAGTTACAATCACGCCATGCATCTTCTTACATACTATACATGGATATATATGTACATATTTTGAGTCATGAAACTGAGTGACGCCTTCTCTTGGGGAAAGGGAAGCGACTCTCAGAGCCATTTGGCTTAATACTGTTAATCCGAAATAGAGCATTGAGCTTGCTTAGTTTTTTGGTGAGTGATTTGAATAGCTTGTTGGCAGGGTGAGACCTTACTAGCTCCTGCTTCATGTTAACATGGTCTTTCTCCAAGTCAGTGAGCCTCATTCTCATTCTTGCTACTTCTAGCTTCAGCTCTCGGTTCTCCCTTCTCACTGATGCATAGTTGTCTCTAGGGGAAATGGCTCCACTTCCTGCACCACTTCCCGAACGTTGAGGGAATTGACCATTTAGTCCTCCAAAGAAAAATTGATTGTGCCCTCCATTCATTGCATTGCGAAGCCTGATTTGCTCGAAGTATAGAACCTGCACTGCCGTCTGCACTGGTAGCCTTTCATTTTGTGCTGCATGGCTGCACGCTTCTTGAGACAGTTTCTGACAATCAATGGTTTTGCACAGGCGGTATCTCTCCGAGTCCTTCATGTTTGGATGAACCTATTTGATAAGAACAGTTCAATTATTTATAACAGTTTGTAAATGAACGAGAATGTAAAAGTATATATTATTTACTCCTATAAAAATGTAGAGATCCATCAAATTGGTGATTAGCAAATAACATGATAGTACAGTTTACGAGAGGTTTAAGACTTGCAATGGAATGGAAGTGAAAGAAAGGAGCAAATTTTCACCTTAAGGAAGATATCAACAGCTCTATAGAGTCCATCACTGACAATACGTGCATGATCTGGAAGTAGTTCAGCAAGGGAAATGAACTTCGATGGCAACAAGTTTGGATCTAGTGCTACTTCAGCAAGATAGTTGTCCATCAATTTGGATACCTTCAGAATTGAGCTTTGTTTTGGGGATCCGGGGCTGTCAAAGTCATAAACCATTTCACTTTCATCTCTCAAGTGACTATTATCCTCTTCATCATCCTCATCTAAGTTCAAAAAATTGGAAAAAATCCTTAAAATTGAATCTGTGTCATAAATAGTGCCATGGGTATTTTGATGTGAATTTGTTGGGATTAGGATGTCTTCCAGAATTGCCTGGTCAAGTTGTAGACCAATCCTTCTCTCCAAATCAGATCTGCAAGAAGTGGATGCTGATGCAGCTATTGCAGCTTTCAACAAACTAGAGAGAAATGCCATTGGAACCGGGCTTTTCCTTGATTGAGTTGGTAGTAAGCCAGCAATGGCTTCAACAATGATTCTTTGCTTCTTCTGCAATTCTATGTCCGGAAAACATCCTTTCACTGCATGGTGGTCCCTAACAATCCCCTGAAGTGAATTATGTGCATAGTTTATCAAAATTTTGCTGATCACGTCTTGTTTTAGTCCCTTTGACTTCACCGCAGACAAAACTCGTTGAAAGAAATCAAGACTAAGAACATTGAGAGATTTCCCCCACCATTCTGAGGGTGTTTCGGGTTCTATGCTTGTGGTGGTTTTAGAAGGGAAGTTGCGGTCCAGCTTTTGCAAACCAGTGGTGAGCTGTTCTTTGCATGCGTTGTTTGCAATTGCATTGATTAGTCTGCTGACAAGGCTAATCTCTTCTGAAGTAGGGACAAGAGTTTCACAACGGTGAAGAACTGATATTGTGTTTGATATATTTGGGAGCACCGTTTCCTTTAGATATGCTTCAGCTCGTGTCTCCAAGTTTTTCTCTGAAAACTCTTCTGTCATTTCTAGAAAATGAGCTACACATTTTAGCATGGCCACATTGGAGAGGGTGAACTCAACATTGATTCCATAACAGAATTTGGCAGCCAGCTCAAATGCCTCTGCACCACCTGGCACGTTTTGGAGACTTATCCGTGAAAATTTTGAATCTTTTGCTTCTAACAGCATTTTCCGAATCCTTCCACTCCTAGAAACAAGAGGAAACTGTACAAAAAAAATGCAAAGAACTTAGGACTTCCAGTATATTCCCTCTACTCTTTTTTTCTTTTTTAACCGATTCATGAATTATAGAGAATTGTATCCTTGCTTTTATCAGTACTCTACTGTACTATGGTTGAACTTGAAATTCTCTTGAGAGGGGTTACTAAAAAAAGAATTTATATTCATACATATGGTTGATATATTGTGCACAGAAAATGTCTTTTATTTACAAATAAATACCTGCGAGAGTGATAGATCACTATTCTGAATATGAAGTAACCTAACATAAAGGCATCTTGTAATTTCTTTACCTTGTGAAGTGCAAAGCTTGAAGCTCCTACTTCAATGGTAAGATCACTAGAGACATCAGATATCGGCCTGTAATTTACAAACCTGGCTGAATTATTGCATGGCGTAGACATGGAAATTTCAATGTAAAGCAACAAATGCTGCTAAGCATATTACTACCAAAATGAAATTATCAGAGAACTAGAAAGAGTGTTTTGGTGCAGCATGTATGTGGAACTAAATGTATAAGATGTAATTAAAACTGTGTGTGTTGTACACCACACACCCGAAAACAATGTAATCTTCCAAGATCAAGTACATGGGTGAGAATGGCCCCCAACTTAATAAATACAGAATGAGTAGTGGGGCTCCTTTAGCAGTACCTCAGACAATCGATTACACGACCTTTAAATCCAATTCAATATTGCACGATTGTTTATGTTGTGGAACCCATTATTGACCAGTGACCTCCACATGTAAGCAAGGAAAACCATTTAAGCCACACATGCAATGTCATGTAAATGTCTAAGCCTACTTTGCCATCTCAAACATCAAAGTTACAATACTGGACATATGTCATGATCTGATAACGAGTAAGTCGATACACCTAATAATAATTTTAAGAAGACCATTAATATTATTTTAAAATTAAAATTTAAACCGAGCTCAATTTCAAAAGTTAGCTCTTGAAAAAAACTATTTTCACTTATATACACTATTTTTTCATACTACTTTTCAATGAATCAAAATGCTTTCCCATAGTCGGTGATCTCTTATTATTACAGCATTTCCGTACTCATTCAAAACTCTCCAATCCAAACATATCCATAGGGGCTAAAGATGACAAAAGCACAAGAATAATTGACAGACAAACATGAATTGGCGTTTTCATGGAAGACAGATCAGGATTGGACATGCACCACGGAGCACCATACCGTTGTCTAGTTAGTACAGGGCTACACATCAAAGTCAAGGTTACACGTTACAGCTTTATCTATCTCAGTGTCTAAATTGTACCATGAATGCTAAGAGTGTTTCTACCATAACAATGTACAGGTTGTGAATAAGGACCATGTCAGATTAGAAGTTGTGAGAAACTGAAATTTGAATGAATACAATAGAGATGCACACACACGAGCAATACGACAAGACAAAATGAAAGTTTCCCAGGTGATGCTCCTACTCAGAAACTGAACTTTCACAATCCTATAGGAAAAGGACAGTTAGACCCACCAAAATGAAAGCTCTGAGAAATAAAATAACCTTGGAGTTTCATGAACCACCAAGAGCATTATGCGCTTGAAGTGTGGACAGTGCATTACCATGTCATGAATCATTAATCCCAAAAGCTTAAACTGATAGGTAACCCACATGAATGGTTTTATATTTTTCTAACGTGGAGCTCTTGATTCCAATTATGCGATCAAAATCTAATTATAGATATGTGAAAATGACTTTACAATGAAAAAGAAAAAGATTTGTTTTTAAGTTTATGGTGGGTCATTAGATCAATTTCTGGAAGTGAATGCCTGCCATTTTGCCCATTTAAATCCTCATCACATTTATTATATTTGCCTCAGAAAACGAAAAATCACCATTAATTACGGGTCTAAATACTACTTTCAGATATATATATATATATATATATATATATATATATATATATATATATATATATATATATATATATCTTTTTTGTATATTAATTTAGCAGCAACTTGTATGGAGAAAAAATTACTAAATTATACCAAAAAATGAAGAAAACAAAATTCATAGTCAAGATGTAGAATATTACCATTCAGTGGCATGCCTTATGCTTGAACTAGGACGAAATGTCCTCTTCCCAGAGATGCTTGGCTTTAATTCTCCAACAGTGACAACTCCCATTTCAACCAAACCTGGCAATTATGATCCCTCTGTACCCCACTAAGAATTGTCACTGTGAATGAAGTGATAGTGATATGCTTGCGTTCTATGCCATGCCAGTAAATTAAACCAAAACCACTAGAAAATTCTGTGCACCATTCTCCTGGGAGATTCTTGTGAATGTGAAGATATTAGTCTGATGAACTGATACAGTAGTAAGGGAGGGAAGGAAGGAATGGAGGTGGTTTTGAAATATACTTTATGAGTGTTTATAATGAACTTAATCTTAAGTCAAGGAAAACGCAGGTGTGCTTGCACTTTTCGGTGAAAGGTAGTGAGCAAGTGGACTTTTCTTTCCTTTACACGGTTTTTGACTTAAGAAATTGCAGGAATCCGGAAGTGTTGCACTGCTTTTGGGAGTTGTAATAATAGCTAGCCAAAGCTACACACATAAATTAATTCCTATTATGTGTAAAGACCACAAAAGTGGAAATTAAAATGATGACTTGGATGACATGATACAATGAAAACCGTGCTGTATTAGATATGATTAGCTCACATACGTTCGTGTTATGTGACACACTAAAGTAATGAGAATTTCACCTGGAGCAAATTTCCAATTCCATTTTTTGCAAGTAGTGAAACTGTTTCCAAACCTAAACGATGACTCTCGAAGTTTAGTGCATTGTCTAAGTCATAAAAGAATGATCTTGTGTAGTTGTGTCATCTCCGGAACCAAATCACCTATCATGATTTCCTATCCCCTTGTCTTATTCAATTAAGAAATCACAGTTTAAAAAAATAAAACTAACAACCGGGAAAGAGTGTTACTTCTTAATCAAGTGTTACTTTTAATTGGAGAACAGGAAAAGGACATGAATTAAGAGACAGGTGAATGTAGTAGCTCCAATAGTGTACGTATTAAATGAATATTTGGCTTTAGCTCATGATATAGACACTAATGTGATCATCACAGCTACACAATGTGACAACTGTTTGGAACAATCATGGTCTTAGATTGCATCGATCTGGTATTCATGATGAGGCCATCAATTTTTATTGTATGGTAGAGTAGTCTGGTTGGTAATCAGCAATTTCATACGTTTTGGTTAAGTGGGTGTGGCCTTCATTTCATTCAATCACTTTGCGTTTGATAATTTTCTTTCATAAAAGATAATTTTATCTGAACCAAAGTTACAGGCTTTACAGCTTCTCATTCCAAATAAATAAGTACAGTTGGCAGGTGGTCCTATGAACTCTGCAGTGTATTCCTATCTAACTAGAGAGAACTAAAAGCATCATGCAACTTAGAATCAAATAGTAAAAGAATCTTAAATGTGAATAACTTTTTATTCTTTTCTCCTTCATGGCATGCCATTTTCTGCTCCCTTGTTATGAGCACTCTGACTTCAATGTGGACCAGTGTGTTAATGGCGAGATCCCATAGCGCAACTATGATTTAGTTAGGCCAAACCTTTTTTTTAGGGTGTTCTACTAAAGTGTTTCTTTGTTTGATGGCATATTTGTTACTCTAAATTTGATTTGCAGGTTAAGGTACAGCAGATTCTTGTATCGAGTCTGGAGACATGGAATCAATTTGCATTAATTTCTCTCAATTAGTTTAGACAGAAACTGAAAATGATATTCAAGATACAGCCATTTCCTTTCACTTTTCCTTCCATTAATGATATACATGGCAATTTACTTTAATTTTCATTTTTTAAAAGTAGCTTTTGTTGTAAAAGCTAAAGTAGATGAAACTAATAGGCTAATAGCTATTGAAGGCTCTATTCATAAATAAATCTAATAAAGTTTTAGGTATCAATTATGAAACGGTTGTGTGAAGAATCAATTATGAAACTTCTTTCATTTAAAAAAGGCATAATAAATGGTTAGCTAAAACTACTGTACTTAAAAAGCATTGTTTCTCTATGGCAGCCATATAATGAGAAGAGGACAAATGGGACAGCCACAGGAAAAGAGGTTTTTCTCTTTTTCACAGAGAGGGGTGTGAAAGAGACTTAATATGATTAGTGCAGGTGTGGAAGGATGGTGGCCACAATCATGATATGCAGAAAACATGCTACCCCACCTGTTTAAAACTTGTGGGGAATGGATCATAGCTTCAATATTGCAGGGATAGTGTCTATGCAGCTAACCTTGGACTCAATTCAAGTTTCAATTATATAATTGTATTTGATCAACAACATGTGCGTTTCTCACCATTTCTCACTCTCATCAGAGGTCACTAACATAATTACACCAACTTGTAGTGGAAATTTTTGACTTCTTTCCTGTTATAAAATCAGAGAAGAAAAATGATTAACTATTTTATACCATCATCTTATTACAAATTATCACATGATGAAAATAACGATGAAACTTCAAAAGATTAATTTTTACTTATATAAGTTAGGATTTTAATCGATGAGATTATTTATCTGAGACTAAGACTATTTATTGGTTAACATTCGTTGACTATCTATTCAAATGAAACATTTGGAGAATTAAATAATTTAAAATAAAAGAAATTTAAATTGAATGTATTCAAAAAAAAAAATCATTTCAAACATACATCAATAATGAAACTTTAGAAGAAAAAATAAATTTTCAAGTTATTGTATCTTGTATTATTTGAAATCTTTCTATATTTCCATCAATATTTTCTTGAAACAAATCTCAACAAGACTTCCATCAGGTAAATTTGATATGTAAACAAATGATTTTGACATTTAATATTTTAAATTTATTAATAAAAAATTTTACTATCACAACTGTCCATTGAAACAAACTAGAAAAATAAACCAAGAAAACTTTATATTTGTTTTTTTAAATTAATTTTAAGTGATATTAGACCAAATAACATTTGATGAAATCATTAAGAAAGATTCAAACACAAGCTATTGAATTATGTGCATCTCCCAAAAGAACATAGCTAGCCACCACCACAAACACTTGTCACAGTCATGGCTACACCATCTCTACCACAAGAAGAATGGAGGATAGTTAACACTAAATTTCTTCTTTTGCCTCCTACCTATTCATTCACTCTTTACCTAAATTGCTAGTCACCCCTGTTGAAACATGTCCCAAATGAACCAACCCACTACCTCAAACTCACATAACCATTCTATATCTGCCATCAAAATATAAATGAATGAACCCCTTTTCAGCCTTTTTAAGGATTCCAGGAAAAAAAAACTTTGACATTGATCACACCAAATTTTGGAATTCAAAATTAAGTGAGAGAAAATACTAGAAAAGTGGGAGAAGAAGAAAAAGAAGCACCGACAATAACAGGAAAGAAAGACAACATTTTTTATTTTAAGATTGTTTACAATTTTGTCTTCTGTTGCTCAAAATGACAGCATTTGGGAGTGCTTAGTTGTCAACTTAGGATACCAAATAACGTTAATCAATCTCGCATAACATGGTTAAACGTGAACAGATTTGACAAGAAAGAAAAATTTGAAATTCAAAATTAAGTTTAAGAACCAAATTGAGGAGGGAGATGAAGAGTAAAACTAAAATTTTGCCAGCTAAATCCACATGTCATGTTGGATGCCACTAATATTTATCAGGATAATTAATGTTAAATTTTATTAATGACCTTTATGGTATACAATTTTAATTATATATATATATATATATATATATATATATATATATATATACTTATTTTATTTTAATAAAGTGTGATAAATATGAAAAATTATAAAAATTAAATAAATAATTTATGTTATTTTTTTAATGTGATATTATTTTATTAAGTTTAAAACTTAATTTTTTTTAATATAACTTTATAGTAAAAAATATTTTATAATTATATATCAAAATATATATTATTAAAAAAGAATAAATATTTTAATTTGAAGATGTTAATTTAAAAAAGCTATTATCTAGATAATTTCATAATAATGATAAAATAATTTTTATTTATTTATTATTTTTTAAAGAAATATTTTCTTATTCATGGTATTTTCTAAACGAATATACTTTACACCTTTCTTTCTTCTTCTTTTTTCACATTTTCTTTCACTGAATCAACATGAATGATGATTTTTCTCTCTGCTTTTTTCTATTTTCTCCTAACACAATACCTCACAATAAGGATAAATTAATAAAAAATGTGTAAAAAAATCTCTTTTATTAATTATTATAGATAAATACAAGGATATAATTGATCGATTATTTTGGATTTTGAAATGTAACATGCGAAAAGGTGACAAATAAAAATGTTTTTTTTTTTCGTGTTTATACAAACATCAATACTCTAATCTTTATATATCTTGAAATTTTTGGGTTGGTGTTTGTATCTAAAGTAATCTGTTAAAAAATACTTAGTCTTAGGTTTGGAGAGGTTAACAAAATAAATATTTAGAGAGAAAAAAAAATCAAATTGGAAACTCTAATATATATATATAGAAAGAAACATGACCTTGAAAAGCCTTAGTAAAATCTAAGATTTTCTGTAGCTTTAAATTTTCAAGGGGATTTTATAATACTGAATAACGAATTAAGTAATTAGAATCGAATGCAATTATTTAGAATTTTGGGTAAAATTATTTCTAATTTAAATATATGTAATAATTCTTTCTTTAAAACATTTGAAAATGTTTGGAGTATGTCAGTTTATAATGTGTCTACTAATAATTATAATAATTTAACTAAATATTATCTCTCATAAGATAGTATTATACTAATTATATCATAATACTAAAATTTTCTAAATATTTATATCATAAAACTAATTAATATCGTGTGTAATGACATAATCGCAGCAATTAAAATCAAAACTCAACCGTGAATTAGAATATAAAAGATTCGTGGTATAAAGCTCTTTTTTTTTTTTCACTTTCACAAGTTAGACGTGGTTTAGGAGTCTAGTCAAAATATTATCATAGGCTTTTTTTTTGGGCATCTTATACTAATATTTTTGTTGAGAATATTAATTTATTATCTTTTATTTAAATTAGATATTAAGATATTTTATTATTTTTCAAGAGACAAGATAAAACGAT